AAAAAAAATTTTTTTTTTTCTCTTTGCATATAAAAATTATACTTTTTTTTTTTTCTTTGCAGGTTTTTACTTAATATTTACAAGTAAAGTGATATTATTCGATATTTATGGCATGTATGTGTATATAAAAAGTGAATTATAAATTCCAAAAATTCGGCGGAAGTGAAAAAGAAGGAAAAAAATTCCGGTTAAGAAGAATAATCGGGAGTATCAGGTGTTTAATTTTGTAAACTATTTGTAAGAAAAATTTGGAGTAAAGAAAAATATTTACATTTATTTATGTTTATAATAAAAAAAAAAATACCGAGGAATTTTTTAAAACAAAAGGCCCTTTGTTCACTATATATGCAACTGTTATATAATTTTAACTAAAACTACTTAGAAGATCAAATGGCATTACATTTATATAAACAAGGAAACCTAAAAAAGTAAATATGTATAATGAAAGCGCATCACTGTATAAAAAAAAAGCCTACTTTGATACTTTGCCTCATTAATAGAATTGTAAATCATGAGTAAATCATAAGTTATCTTAAACTAGGTAAAATATAATAATATATTATATATATATATTACATATATATTATATATATTGTAATATAATATGTATTATCTTGTAATGTCTGCTGTACTAAATGTCTGTACTAATGTCTGTACTAATGTCTGTACTATAATGTCTGTAATGTCGCAGCCCAAAACCCTTTAAAATGATTGCATATCATTCACGTGCAATTCAATTTTTTAGTATTGTCATGGTTACGTTTTTATATTATTTATAATTTTTAGAATTTTTATAATTTTCTAATTTTTTTTTTCTAATTTTTTATGATTTTCTAATTTTTTTATATCTTTTGTATCTTTTTTTTGTTACCAATAATGGATTTGTATTTGTTATTTAATTTCGTCAAATTGGTTGAATTTTTCTTGTTATCCCAATCGATATTTAATTATTATTATTATCGATAAACTCCACATATAATTATGCATTATACCGCATTTATCATGATTGGTTAATTAATGTAACAATGAAAAACAAAGTTAGAAACAATATATTTACCTTTAAGGCAAACACATATTATTATAAAATTAAGGGGAAGGAGAAAAAAATAAAAATAAAATAAATAAAAAATTCTATAGAAACGGAACGAATCAAAAATAAGTAATTAAATGAAAAATTCTGAGACTTTTTTTTTTTTTTTTTTTTTTTTTTTT